CACACACACACACACACACACACACACACACACACACACACACACACGGGGGCTCACCAGGTGAAGACAATACCAGCCACAAAAGTGAGAAAAGGAGTGACTCGGTGCTCTTGCTTCCTAGACTACACACTGGGAGCCACCCTGGATCAGCACTGAATCTACAAGTCAAACAGATACGCTCTTTGCCACCTCGCCTGAATAAATGCGCCGCTCGAACAATCTGAACTCAAACAGTGATTCAATTTCGTGGTCTGTGTGTGTTTGTGTGTGTGTACGTGTGTGACGGAGACACACTCATCTGCACTCTGAATGAATTTCTCCCTTTGCAATAATAGATGCAGCAGAGACTGCTAATCTTGCAAAGTTTGCCTCGAAGGGTCGGGGCACACGCAAACACGCACCTTGATAGAAGTACTGCTGTCGAAGCGAAAAGACTTTGTCTGCCCGTTCTCCAGGTAGACCTTCAGGACATTTGGCATGAACAGAAGAGAGTTGTCCTTCACCGGGTTCTGCAAAGGAGGAATACCATCAGTCTTTTCATCCTGCTCATTTGACGTCCCTCTAACAGAATACAGGTGAGGTTCAATACGTGAGAGGATATCATAAAAGTGTATCGATGTCGTAGCACATTTTTGTGACCGTCTTATCTATCTGGCATTCACTCAACTGTCTGTCTTATGTGGTAACCATCTGTCATTGCCTATATAGGTCATACATAAGTGTGTGTGTGTGTGTGTGTGTGGTACTGACTGGAACCTGGCCGTTTATAATGACCTCCTCTGCAAAGCGCACTTTGACCGGATTGGACTTGAGCATGGCTTTTTTGGCTGCACTGATGAACGCTGATTTAGGGGACTAAGAGGCAGCGGTCCAAAGAGAGAGACACGGGAGGGAAAGAGGGAGACAGATGGAGGGAGAGAGATAAAGAGAAGCATAAATAAACACAAAAAAACAGGTTTCCACATTAGCTGCACATGTAACACTGGAAAAATCAATACAACTTTAACATAATAACCTAAGTTTCCTGAAATTGGGAAAAGCTATTTTCTAGAAACACAACCCTGGTGCAACACACTCCAATCTTAAGAGGAGACGGATGGTAGCATTTAGTTGGAAGAAGACAAGATCATTCCATCCACTTTAAAGGAAAAGAAGTTTAACGGGCCTGGAAGAGAGTCAAGGAGAGCTTAAACTGTGAGCCACAAATCTATACCTCCCCAAATATGATAACAAGGGCACACAATGTCATTCATGGGGAACTCATTTTTCAAGAGACACTCAGAGGACACTAAATCACCATGTTTCTGTTTATTATATAAAGGTATCAATTATTGTGACAAAATCAACACATTACACATACAGAGTAATCCTTTCCCTGGATTTCATTCAAGCATTTTCTTTTTTTAAATAAATATATCTGACACATACAACCCTTGTGGTGCATAATGCAAGAGCTGATCTACTCACGGGATACGGTTGGACGACGGTCAACACGATGGATTCTTTGCAGCTCCTGAAGCGAGAGAGGACAGCGAATCACAAAGTCAACAGAATCATCAGGAAACAACAGTCGCAGCGAACCGCGATGGCAGATAAGCGAGAGGAACTTGATTAGCTTGGCTGAAATGGAATGAGGCGCCTCTGGCAATTGCCACTTACGAGCAGACGCAGTTAAAACAAGAAACACTCACACTCATTAGTTTCCCATTTAAAAAAAGGCAAGCTGTCAAGGTAAACTGTCAAGGTAAACTGAGTGCATCCAAATAGCAAAAAGCTTTTTTGATGATATGTGATGATGAATATGCTTGTGTGATTAGCAAATGTTTTAAGATTTCCAAATGATAATGACTTTGTTTGTATCTTTGTCGGGCACTGACAGTTATCAGTGTGCTTTTTTTTTTATGCGGGTATGAGTCTGTGCATCAAGCATTGGATTTAATAGCTTATGACAGGGTCCGTTCCCAAGTCGTTTTGTAATACGAGTGAACTGGCCCTTTAAATCTAGGTGATCCATATCCTTCAGAACAGGGTTTTGGAGGGGGGGAGATTCTTGTATTTGTTGACAAAATCCTCCAGGTAATTAACCTGAACTGCTACAGCGTCCCCCAAAGGTTTCTGTAGTCACCTGACGAGGTCGATGACTCGTTCTCTGGGAGCCGAGCTGACGGGTTCGTCGTTGATCATGATGATCTCATCGCCTGGCAACAGCTTCCCCTCCGATGGACCACCTGCACGCACACAAGACACGAGTGCATACAAGACGTAGTTGATGACAGCGCATATCGAGAGTTTCGGCCCGTCAGCCAAAGATTGTGTGGGAATGAGTCAGTGGAGGAACAGCTGAATGGACACTGCAAATAAATGTGTCAGCTTACAGCTAATGTGGGCGTGTCCGTCTCCTGACACATGCATTGATAAACTGCTGCATCCTTAAGCACATGCTGTATATTGCTTTCCTTGGCCAACAACTCGGAATAGAATATTCATTGGTTCAATTGTCTGTTTGAAATTCAGCGCTGATTGATTATTGAGATAATCACTGTGTGTGTCGTTGCAGCCACCGGAGCTGACGGCTGTTAGGAGTCTGGAAGCAGTGGTTTGGCAGAAATTTGGCAATCAGCCAATTAACCAAAATGAACAACACTTCTTTTACAAGAAAAACCTATAAATTTGTGTACATTTTCTTTCTTGTATGGGGTCAATTAAACTTACTTGTGCAATCATAGTCTGGAGAGGCCAACAGTCTGCATGGCTTCCTTCTAAACAATCATTACAGCAACTGTTTGCACTGATAAGCACGCTGCAAACAGTAAGGAGGAACTGATGGAACCGCTCAGAGCAATCTTTCAACATGCAAACCCTGCGGAGGTATCAGGCCTTGCTTTCCGGCTTTGACTATATTTTCTCTCAGTTATTCTAGCAGCATCCTATCCCGCTACTGTTCAGCGTTAATGAATATTGCTCCTCTAGCCGTCAGTCATCTGACACCCACAGGAGTGAATGGACTTTTGCATGGCGAAATAATCCCTCTAAAAACATGATTCATGTGTTATTCTTCGGTAAAATACATGCAGTTAAAGGCAGTGTTTTTCAAGTGACTCACACTGGAAGCAAGGCTAAATTGAACACAGTTAACGTATATGCATGCATGTTGAATGAAACTACTTGAAATGAGAAAACTGAATGTTTTTTTACTTGAGGAATGTGGATTGTATGAAACTATGATTCAAGGTTGCCAGTTTATTCTATCAAGTCTAAGATTTCAAGCCCCGATGTTTTGGATTTGACCATTTCTGACTTTGGCGACTCCTTGTGGTGACATCGGAGAGGACACCGTTACAGACAGCGATCCGTACCTGGTGTGACAGAGCGGACCACCACCGGTTTCTCACTGCCTGCCACAAAGCCGAAGCCCAGGACCGGGTCCCGTCTCATCTCCACCAGGCGGGGGGCAGGGGGGACCCCATCCAGGTGAACCTCCTCCAGGGAGCTGCACTGGGACACTTGGCTGGAAAAAGAAAAGAAGGAGAGGATGAGTCAGCAGATCGTTTCACTTCAAGAAGAGATGTAGCTGGTAATAGGCTCAGTGACTGTGCTGCATATTAATGAAGAATCTCTTTGAGATTATGATGCAGTATACATTAAAATCCAATCAATTCATTCATTCCTACACTAGAAATTAGTTTTAGCTCTGAAAGAAAACATTAAACTTTGAGTGAATGATTTGAGCTATCCCATCAGCTGCTCATAAATCAGAGCCCTGGCTCAGGTTTGGTCATTAGCACAACATTTTATGCTTAAGAGCTATTTATAAAGACAGCACAGGTCCTGCGTTCATAAAATGCCAAAGCTCCGCAATCTGGAACCAAATTGGTTCGTGCATCCACATAAAAGTCTGCAGACTATTCCAAATGAAAGAGTACTGATCATTTAATCAAGTCACAATTGTTCAAAATGAACGTGCAAAGGTCAAAAAGGCCTGCTCTCTTCTTAGCGGCCGCTGTTATCATCATATTAGCACAATGTCATGTATGTACACGTATGCTGAAGAATGCAAATGGCGAGTCCAGAAAGAAACCTTTGCTTTTTCTGAGGGACTGAAAAAAAAATCCTTTAAATTCCTTTTGAAAAAAAAGCAATGTTAATGCAGGTTAATATTGGTGAAGTATCGCATTATCCTTTTCTTTGCCTTAGTGCAAGTCACTCAGGATGAGAGCACCACTTAAACGTAAATGCCCCATATTAAATTAAACCTTCCTGCTTGCTTAACCTCAGACGTCTGTCTGACCGGCACACTGAGAATGCAGAGTGCCTGTTAATTATGAGGTGATATAGGCTTTCAGAGGGGTTCACTCATTCTCTCTCTATCTCCACCTCCCCTCCCCTCTTTCGCAGCTTAAAACGCTCCCTTGGCAGCCGTTGCTTCCCCGCTGCACATTAAGTCCGGCACAGGCCAGGGTGTCCATTGTACCTTGCCAACATCCATTCCATATTGGCGGCCTCTGCTGTCCATATAGATAAATTCATGCCTCATCTGTCCTAACCTTCACATAGTCACATATGCTTCATTAGGTTGTAATACGCTAAACCAACGTTTCTCTTTTAATCCATCAGATGATATTGTTTTCAGATTTTGCACATCCAATGTGGCTTTACCCATGGATATTTATCTAGTTATCACAATTTATACATATATATACTGTATATATAATATATATATACCTGCAGCTTTGCCTCAATCTGCCCTGATGATGAAGCATGTCCCAACCGACCACATGTCCGACCGATCCGGATCAGTCTCGATCTCCGCCACCTTCTTTCCCTTTTGTGCTTTCTCATTCTGTCTCTCATTATCACATTGATCTGTACTGTGCATACGAAGAGGGGGGAGGGGGGGGATCTCAAACTAAATCTGTCTGTAATGAAGCATGTTCCAATCTGCAACGTGGACCCATGTGCTCCGTCAGGGTCAGTGGGGCTTAATCCCGCGGGAGGGCAGAGCCGGGATGTCAGGGGGTCAGGGGGAAAGCTGAATACAAAAAGGTCAAATCCTCGCGTTGCTGCAAGTCATGGAAGAATGGGAAAAAGCATGCACACCAATGCAACTCACACTGACGCTCCAGGTTCTGGTCAGTTGCAATTGCTAAAGGTCTGTATCACTTACCATGACTGGAATCGTTCTCTAATCTTAACCAATTGGTTTTAGATGCCTGCAACCATATTTGAGTCGCCAGATGCTGACTAATATTATCGGGATGACCAGCTGAAAAAATGCTAAGAGTAGCGTTACGAGCCACTATCGTTTCACATAGACTGTACATCAGAAGTGGAAGTAGTCACTGTGAGGTCAACCATTGGTTTTTGTGCTGCCGTTTTGAAGCCAATTTGGCCGTGGTCATCTTGGTTTTTGGCCATCGCCATCTTGTTGTTCTGCAACCGGAAGGGAGACGAGAGGGTGGAGCCAAGTACAACTGAACGCTGAATAAGCAATTTATTTTAGGCAAGAGCTTACTTATTTATTGAGATGGCATATGCTAAGTATACCTATGGGGGTTAAATGCACCCATTGAAAGTCACTTTGAATAAAGGCACCTGCAGAATGTCTTGATATATGAATGTAGTGATTTATATTAGATAATTGTATCCCTATCACCCACCGGTACATCCATCCCAGAGCAATGTCACACCAATGAAAAAGGAGAAAGGGACCAATATTAGGTGTCAGCGGGGAATATACTGCCACGAAACAGTTGGCAGGGTTTATAAAGCACACACGGATAAACTCATGAACACACACACCACAAGTATCCATGTTAATCCACACAGGAAGGCAAATGCTTACTCTACACACACTCTCAAATCACTCCTGAACGCTCTTCAGATAAGGAGAAATATGCTAGATGTAAATTTGTTCAACTGATTTGGTGTTTTCAAAATTGTTTCGAGAGTAAAACACAACTCTAGAAACAATCACATTCATCTCATGACAGAACACAATGAGACTAAACACACACTACTGTATTAGTTGACATGTAAAAATGCCCATTTTATATACAGTGTGCGCATATACATACAGCCCAGCTGCCATATCACAGGGAGTTCAAATCCACTGACACTTGAGTGGAGAATGGCATTGCAAACCTGCTAGATCATGTTAGATAAGGTTAGGGGAGATATCTGTCCATTATAGTTAAATCAACTGGCTTTAGTCGCTCTCTCACTTTCTTTTCTCTTTCTGTCTCGCAGAAATCCAATCGGGATACTCAATCTGTGTCACCTCCACTAAAGCCAACAGCTTTTCTCTGGGAACAAAGCCACATAACCAGAGCCATCTCACTTGTCATATTTGACTTTCCCATAATGAGGAGAGGATGGGGGGGTGGGGTGGAAAAGAATGTATAAAAGGATGGATAAGAGGATATACAGTATCGTAAGAGGGCAGGAGAGCAAGACAGGAAATGGACACATGAACAGACAATATTGAAAATAATCTTAATGTGCCAAGTGTTGAACGAGATATTTTTGAACGAGTGCTGCATTTGTCCACTGAAGCCCAGAATCCAGCCTTTGGAAAGCAGAGACCAAGGGAGGGGAATTGATGTCGAGGGGGCAAAGCGAAGAGGTCAGAGGAGAAAAAGGAGGAGACAGGAGGAGGCCCAAGAGAATAGATTATAAAAAACAGATCAAGAGTGGAGATACAAGGAAGGATGAAAAGTTCAAAAGGTTCAAGAGGAAAAGTATCAGTGTGAAGAAAAAGCGCAACCAAGAAGGAAAAGAAAGAAAACACGATGACAAGTGGCAAAGAGAGGGAGCAAGGAGAGGAGCTAACCAACCAACAAGACATATGCAGCCATTGTCAATTAATTCACAGGGTAGTTTCACCACCACATAAAGCAACTGGTGCGTCAAAAAAGTTAATTGGATCACAGCTTATCAGAATGTCTGCCTCACACGGAGCCTGTTCCACAGCGTGTACATAGCGCTGGAATCATCGTGCAGAACCTTCGGCATGCCAAAAGCCCTCGACGCCAGTCCAGCTGCAGGATTTGCATGTTTACCTGGCTTCCTGTTTCTTTCTGAAAAATACATTTCCACAGACAGGCTCTGCACGCACACGTGGAATGCAAAACTCCCTGAACAATGGCTACTTTTTGTGCATGTGGGGAGGACGTGGCGGATGAAGCAATACACTGGCTCATAAAAGTCTCGTGATTAAACTATCCATTCATCCATCCACTATCTTATGCTTATCCCAGGCCGGGCCGTGGGGGCAGCAGGCTTAGCAGGGTATTCCAGACACCCCTGTCCCCAGCAACGTTTTCCAACTCTTCCTGGGGAACCTAGGCCAGACGAGATATGTAATCCCTCCTGCGAGTTCTGGGTCTTCCCCGGGGGTCTCTTACCACTTGGACGTGCCCAGAAAAACCTACCGACCGCCTTACACGATGACTGCAAACCGCCCCAGTGCGTGCTGAAGGTCACGGTCTAATGGAGCCAACAGAACCACATCATCTGCATACTGATTAAACGAGGTGATGCTTTTGGGAATAGGCGGGTTTCAGAAAAAAAAAACTCCAAATGCGGTAGTCGCCTAAAACAACTTTTGAACCCTGCACTACCCACTGCTGCTTCTCCAGAGGATCGTCATATAAACATGTGAGCACATGGCATGCTGTAGTTTATGATCATGCTGTACATACTTGGTGAGGCAGTCCCGTCCGTCCATGGTGCTGTTCATGCTGTCCCAGCTGTATGGAGGCCCCTGCAGTCCAGCCCAGGCGCCTGGGCCAGGGGGCGGCCAGCCCGACATTTTGTTCTTATGGCTGAAACACAAAGGAGGGGGAAAATTAGCATTTAATCGTCAACAACAAGCACTTATCATTTAAATGGAACTCATACATATACATCAAGGCACATCCATCTACTTATTTCAAGAGGTACATCATATAAGAAAAGAATGAAAGGTGAATATATTAATCTCTTTTCCCCTCTTTGGATTAAAAACACTGAGGGACACTCTGGTAAGATTCCTCTCAGCCCAATTAGCGTGACCTCTTGCCTCTCTGTGTGTGGCTTGCGGTGTGACCTCCCACTGTTTAGTGCAATCAACTGCAGTCAAATAACGGCCCATCAGGTCCGTAGATGGGCGATCAATAGCTGCACGTACGGGCGAGCACCGCGGCGGCTGCTGTGCAAAATTGCCCACGTGCAGTGAGGAGAAGCGCTGATGTGACGGCTGATTTGGTTATCGCAGATTACTCAAACGATGTCATTGAGGATGGAGGGAGGAGATGGGAGGAGATATCGGCTCCGACGTGTCACCCCGCCGTGAACTGCGAGGGAAAAGTTCTTCATTTAAATGAGGTTCTGTTACGCAGCATGTTCTCCACTGTGTGCTTCACATCACAGTTTCAGCCCTTTCCCATTGAAAGCAAAGGCCCCAATTGATCAGGCATGCGCTCTGCAGTCGATATAAATGCTTAAAAATGGAAGAAAACGCGTACTAGAGGAGGACGTCATCACCGTAAGAATCCAGCTGATCGATTCCCATATTGTGCTGTCGATGAGCGGAATGCATCAGTCAGTCATGTCATAGCTTATGGGGTGTGGAAAAGAAAATTGGCCTTTAGACGAGAGGTGCAAAACAAGCTCCACTGGGGAACAGTGAAGCTGCCGGTGGAAGTGTCAGAGCAGATCAGTCATCCTGCTGATCAGCTGTCATGTAGAAGGAAAAAAGTGGAGTCGTGATATTGTCTCAAGCAATACACACATCTCCCGTGCTTCCATCAACACCCAAATGAAAGAAAACAAAATAGGTCCATTTCAGCACTCGAGGAGTTCTACTCCTCTTGATTCTGTTGCCATGCACGCGTTTCGGGCTTGTGCTTCTGCTGCATCTTCAGTCACCCGAAAGAAAAACTCATTCACCGCCACTTCAGAATCCCAATCAGAGGCTCTTGTGCCTCAAAACATATACGGAGGCCGCTGCACTAACGGCTGTGCAGATCTCCAGTGCGCAGCCAGACATGCATCCTTGTTTGTCGCTGCCGAGAGCAGCTTTGGGTCCAAACTGAACTAAACTGCCGTGGCCTCGCCTCCTTTATCCCAAAATCCCTCTCATCACAGAGAAAACAAATCCATGCTGTGTGTGTGAGAGAGAGAGAGTATGTGTGTGTGTGTGTGTGTGAGAGAGAGAAAAAATGAGAGGGAGAGAGAGTGTGTGCAACTGTGCATGTAGATATAAGTGCGTGTGTGTGTGTGTGTGTGTGTGTGTGTGAAGTAAGAGGCTTTTCAGAGAGCAACAACGTGTATGGAAACATCGCTCCATCTCTGAACTGGAGGAAACTGACTCTTAAAGTTCACCTGGATGGCATTAATATTTTACTCTTCCCTTTTTGTCCTCCTACAGCAAAAAATAAGTTGTTTTTATGTCCATACGGGACAGAAAAGGGCAAATGGTTCTGCCAGTAAGACGAAAAATGATAGTTGAGTGACCGACCGACCATTATTGCCATCCCTGGCAGAATAAAATACACTTTAAGGCCCGATAGTAAATGAAAAGGGGCATTTAAAGATGGATATTTTCTACGCAGACAAGGTCCTTTGCCTCCTCATTAGCAGCGTCGCCCCCTGAATGCAAAACGCGGGGATTAACACGCAGATTCAAGCGCAAATCTCTCAAATTGCACTGAATGCAAGCACAAAATCAGATGGCAGTGTTTACCATTCACAACAGTGACAATCACACAGTTGCATGTTGAAAGGGAAACCCTACAAGTGGCGTTGAAAGCCGCACCCTCTACTCTTCACAAAGAAACGTAACCCCTGCATTCCCATCATGAAGGTTGTCTCCTCGATGAACTACGCAGCAGTTTTTGTCCAACTTGCCGTCTTGACACGAGGCCTTTTCCACCAGGGATCAGAGTATATGAATTCAAAAGAAGCAGCAGGGGTGCTTCGTTCTGTGGGTGTCTTTAGTTGAAAAGGCCACTGTATTGACTTCAATACGTACTTGTTCTTCCAATCTGATCAATGCATGCCCCTCTCTTTACCGCCTGGGATTGATCTCTCCTTCTGTCATCCACACAGCTCAAAAGCTAAACTCCATGAAAGACAAACTCAATCGATGTTTCGTCCCCTGACGAAAATGGACCGACAACAACCATTTCTTCTGTGAACGTGTGGGCCAGGACTTAAGGAAAATAGATATTTTTTAAACAAATGTAGTGATTTAGGGAGAAGAAATGAAGAGGGTTGTGTGTAATTGATTTAGACAGATTTCATAGATTTAATTATACATAAGTGATTGATTGACAGGTTGTAGTATAAGGAGAAGCTTTCTGGTTCTGTCAACCGTAGGCCCCAGAGCAGCATGTTTTGCTTCACTTCAATGGTTTTGACCAAATTAGAATCCTAATGCTTGTTTCACCGTTTCTGCCTAATTGATTTATCACAGCCGGGCCCTCATCGACTGCCATTACACGTATTGATCGCCTGTCTTTTCATCGTCGTCGAAAACACTCAGGACGCGGACTGGATCCCGGTCATGTATTGCATGGCGAGGCATAACCTCTACACTGATCCTTCTTTAGAAACAAAGGTGGTGGTTACTGGAGCTAGTCTGTTGTTGTTTTTTTTGCTGCATCATATGACAGACCTCCCTATCACAGAAAGCAGCCTTGCCAGCTGGCACAGACCTCCCCACTCAGCCACCACATGCTCCAGTCAGCAAAAGAACACACACGGCCCCGAACACTGATCTGCGGGTGCATCGCAACAAATGTTTCCTCTCCGACATGCCGTGGCTCGGATTCCGATTGCTCCCGTCCAGTAAAGTAATCCATCGCAGGGTTCAGCCGAGGAAATGCCTACAGTACTATACATATGAGCCTAATATGTAATAGTCCATTCAAGCAGATTATATAATCCCCTTGTTCTCTGACATTTGTCATCAGTAAATATGATTGCTTTCATAGAGAATTCAGCAACTCAAGAGCCACTAGAAATAGTTTGGGTTTTTTCATGTCCAATGTTCAATCTAATGATTCATGCTCTCAAATTAAGGCGGCAACAGATGTTGCCCACAAATAGTGAATTTATTCCTTTATATTGGTGTCATTAGGTTATCACATTCATGACGTTTGTCCCTTTACATACAGCTGTGATTACAGTTGCCAGGCCATAGACAGTATAATCTAAATGATACACTTGAATTCAGTGCTGTGTGTGTGTGTGTGTGTGCGCGCGCGCGCTGAATTCAGAGCACTGAATTCAAGTGTATCATTTAGTTATTTTCCTCTGAGGGTCTCTACTTTTTAAGTTTGACCTGATATGGGACTCATTTCCAGTTTGGGCTCTACTCTGCCACTGAACGCTAAACATCAGCAAGCATCTGTCACACCGTCTCCTCAAATGAAAGGGGAGCCGAGGCATTGGTGCATTACTGCGCCGATCTTTGCCAACACATTATTTTTACAGACTGAATTGTGATTGAAACAAGACACCGAAGCATTTCAAAGATCCAGCCTCAGGACGGAGGCCATTTAAAGGACTGATTTACGGCCTGGCTACTTATCACAGCTGCCGGGAGCGAAAATATTTTAGTTTGACCTTCCTTTTGTTAAAAGAGACCACACACACACAAACACACACATGCAATGACTTCTAAAACCCCTCAAGATCTTTATCAAGACTGACTGAGTTTGCACAAAAAGCGAAGAGCTCTCCCTGGATGCTTTAGCCTACATTATGACAATGCTCACAACAGCCAGTAGCGTAAAAGCCCACCAGCCCTCTGCCGATTCTCACCACTTTACACTCTGCAGAACAACTAGGGTTTAAGCCACAACTCCCCCCGTCTTGTTAAAAGCTCAGCTCCTGGGTGTCTTGCATGCTGGTGGAGCTGAGGACCCCTCTCAGCATACAGGGACATGTAGGTTAAGTGGTGGGTGGAGCAGTGAAATATATACGTCAGGGTTTGGGTCTCTTTATTCATTTGAACATGTCAGCTAAGTCTGCAATGAACAGAAAAGTGTTCATTCGCAGTCTCCCCTTTATAAAGAACACTGATATATTGACTTAAGTGCTTTAGGAAAATCGACCGCAATAAAAGGTACGTCATCTCCAGGGACTTGAAATGAGATGCAAAGAGACGACTTTCTGCCGTGATTTCACACTACTGAGCATGACAAGTTTAGAAAAAAAAAAAGAAGATGAAATAACTCTCTATAAAAACTTCACAATTAGCCTGAAGTAACCCTGTGCATTGACGAGATGTATCACTGAGCCAGTTCTGGTTTAAAGCGCCAGAGTTGAAAAGGGAGTAAAAAATGAATGCAGGGTGTTTTTCCTCTGGTCGTGGTTAGAAGTGTTCATACAAAGACATCTAACACATGGTGTAACTGACTTAAACCAGATAACAGTCCACAGGTTAATTGCATGTCGCACCGCGCGATAATAAAACATCAGCTATAATCTGTGACAGACATTTTGAGGCATGTTCGATCGGGTGAATCATTGCACTACGAGGCAGGCAGAGACACGTCATCAACTCGTGTCGTGTCATCCATCTGTTCTCATTATTTAAAAATGCGTAAAAAAAACTAAAACAAGTTCCGGCTACAGCACCAATAATAAATGTACACCAATGTGGTATGAGGGTGCTTAATGTTGATGGGCCGGTGTATTCTGCCACATTTGATGTCGTACTCCAATTAGTTGCTTCCAGATTCTCAAACGTGAGAAGAAGCAATTTCAAAAACGTCGCCGCGGGCTCGGAGGAATCATAATCATCCGGGAAAAGAATCTGCAGATTAATCGACAA